AATAAATAAATAAATAAATAAATAAATAAATAAATAAATAAATAAATGTATAGGTAAAAAAATAAATGAATGAATGAATAAAGGATTAAATAAATAAATAAAGGATTAAATAAATAAATAAATCTTTTGAAAAAAGCTTCTGACTGAGCACACACCTTTAGTCCTGGCACTTGGGAGGCAGAGACAGGTAGCTCTCTGAGTTCAAAGCCAGCCTGGTCTAGAGAACAAACACCAAAACAGCAAGGGCTACACAGAGAAAACTTGTCTTTTGGTGATAGAGGGACCTGGAGAGATAGTTGAGTGGTTACAAGCAGTGGCTGCTCTTCCAGAGCACCCATGTTCGGTTTCCAGCAACCACATGGCAGCTCACAACTGTCCAGCTCCAGGGTCTCTGACAACCTCTCACTGACATACATGCAGGCAAAACACTAATGTCTACAAAATAAAAATAAATATTTTTAAAAACAAACAAACAAAAGCCTAAATTTGTGACTTCACTTCTGCTTCTTCCACTGGCTCCTTTTTTCCTTTGGTGCCTCCTTGTGGCAGAATGTCTCACAGATTATGAACCCTCATTCAAGAAGCAAAAGCAGGAGGATCTCACTTTGGAGGTCAGACCAGCCAGGGCTACACAATAAGGCTGCCTGAGGAAGGAAAAGCATAACAGGAGGTCCTCCCTGATTCTCTCAGATTCTCACACTGTCACATCTCCAGAGATAGCCACTGACATACTGAATGCTATCTCGCTGTCTCCACACAGCGGCGTGGGCTGTGGCTCTCCCACCTCTCCTTTACTCCTCAGCTGCTCTGTGTGTTCCCTCTCCCCAGCCTGTCAACACCACATACCAGCTCTGCAGCCTTCTCCCTGGTGCCCTGAGCCAAGGCCCAGATGCTAACATCTGTACCCCACCATCTCTTAATCTCTCTCCCCCAAACTCCACACTTGCACTCCCTCTTCATCTGCAGCCAAATGGCTCAATAACACCTCAAAACCAAAGGTCCAAAACCAAGCTCACAAACCTGCTCCCTAGATACAGCCTTCTATCCATGGCTGAGGGAAACCCTATTCTTCTAAGGGCTCAGTCAAAGAAAAGGCCAGGGTAAGTGACTTCACATGACACGGTTCCCCCATTGCCTGCACTCAGAGTGTCAGAAGACAGGCTCCTGCCTTCAACTTCTACAGTTACTACTATTTATAAGCTGAACACTGAGTCTCTGTCATCTCTGTCCTGGGTCATCCCGACAGTCCCAAACTGTCCCCTTGCATACATTCTTATTCCGTTTAGTCTATTTTCCTTCCTTTTGTTTTTTGAGACAGGGTCTCTCTACACAGCCCTAGGTGTCCTGGAATTTACCATGTAAACAAGGCTAGCCTTGAACTCACAGAGATACTCCTGTCTCTCCTCCTGAGCACTGGGACTAGGCATGCACCACCACACCCATCACTTTTTTTTTTTTTTTTAATAGTCTATTTTGAACAGCAGTCTAATGTTCCCGGTAAATCAAGTCCCAGCACTGCTCCTGCTGCTGTAGCAGCTCTCCAACTCCCTCGGAATAAGGGCCTTCTTTGAATGACTCAGAAGGCCCAACAAGACCCACTGGCTCTACCCTTTTCCCTCTCCCCCTCACTCATCCTACCCTAGTCACACCAGGTCAGGTGTTGCTCAGGTTTGCCTGGGATGCCTCCGCCTCAGGGTCCCTGCACCGTCTGCCTGTTCCCTTTCCCCCAGCTTTCCACAAGGTTCACCTCCTTTTCTCCTTCCCATCACCTTCCGTAGGCTGGCCTCGCCTGGCCTGGGTAAAACCCCATCTCCGGCCGGCACTCCTGAGCCCACCCCTTTCAGCATGCTGTCAACCTAGAGTGGAGTTACCTGCAACAGCCACTGGTTCTGCCTATCCCCTACTAGACAGTAGCAGGAAGAAAGGATGCCTCTTTTATCAGCGGATGTGTGAAGTTCCTAGACAGCCCGTGGCAGACAGCATGTACTCAATGAACACATATTAAATGTATCAGTGCTATAATACAGTTTTCAAAGTTTAAAAATATAGCTGTTTGCCATTAAGGATGTTCAGAAATCACTAGGTGTTTCATTCTTATCTGTTCAGGCCCAAATTAGCTGCCCTGTGAGGAAAGTGTCCAGCACATGGTTCTTGTAATTAATGAGTACCTCACACAGCGTTCACTCACCAACTGCAAGAATGAGGCAATTCTGTAAAGAAGACTCTCGATCCTGATGCGCTCAATCTCCAGTGGACACGGCCCTGTCAAGTCTGCCATGGAGTACTGGCCAAGAGAAAGCAGGGCCTCGGTGCAGTGCTGGAGGGCCATGTCATAGTCCTGCCTCTTCAGTGACTCACATGCTTGTTCACATGACTTTTCAGCTCTTCTGTCTTCCATGACTCAGGGACAAAAATCCTAAACATGAGAAAAGAATGCGTGTGATTGAAAGACTCAGTGAAGGGCTGGAGAGATGGCTCAGCAATTAAGAGCACTTGCTGCTCTTGCAGATCCCAGATCCAGGACCCAGGTTCGCCTCCTGGGCAACTCACTACCATCTCTAATAGCGGTTTCAGAAGATCTGATGGCTTCTTTGGGTACCTGCATGCCTGCAGTGAACACATACTCAGGTACACACATTCCTAAACCCCCAGCTGAATGCCCAGGGGAGAGGCTCCTGTCACTGCAGCTGAGCAGCAGCTGAGGGCAGTGTAAAGTCTAACACATAGATTTTATAATGTCTTTACTAAGATCCAGGCTAAAATACCCACTATCAGCAGCCAGGATCAAATTCTTTATTAGTGAAACAATGCCACAAAGCACAAATAAAAATAAGATTCTACTTTTTGACCAAAGGAACAGAAATGTTTCCTATCTAAACCTTCCAGTTTCAGCCTCTCTTTAGTCTTGTTTCAGTCACTGCAGAAAAATCAAAGTCCATATGGTGTAGGATTTTTTTTTCACACCCTTAAAGAAACTAGCCAAAGTTCGAGCTGGGCATTACTTCAACCCAGCCCACATTCCCAGAGGGGCAGGCCTTAGGCTAAAAGCCTCAGCACGGAGATGGTGCATGAGGTCACTGCTTTCCAGGATCTCGGAGGTAAGCGGTGGAGCCAAGGCACAAGTTACCAAAGGTCAGAAAGACTCATTCCATCTGAGGCATGAGCTGCCTCAAGAGGAGACCACGAGTTCACCACACAGCCAACAGAGGAGCAAACTCCAGCTTTGCAGAGACCAGAGTTCAGCTGAACCAGAGGGCTCCACAGGTGAAAGTGCTTGTCACCTAACAGGATGACCTGTTTATCCCTGACAACCCCGAGGCAGAAGGACCAACTCCTGCAAGTCTTCCTCTGGCCTCACCCACACATGCACCCACAACAGCAAATAAACGCAATTAAAAAAAATTTAACACGAAGTGTTCAACTGGACTCAGCGAGAGGAGAAAATTCACACATTAAACTCAAGAAACCCATGAAGGGGTAGGGTAAGAGGAACTATGGACCAAATACCATGAGAAATGGAAGTTGGCACCAGTGATGGCACACGAAAGACAGGCTGTAAACAAAGTGAGAACCTTTCAAAGGCTCAATGGTAGAGCACAAGGCTAGAATAGACAGGTTCTAAGTTTGGTTCCCAGAACCATGAAAAAGGAGAGGAGGTGAGAAGCAGTCTATCCAGTATCAGTCCTATGAAGAACTGCTTAGAAGAAATGGCAAGCACTGACCACTAAGAGCACAGCAGAGCCTAGAGCCAGCGCGACAGCCCAGGGAACAGTGCTGCCAATACCGACAACTGGAGCTGGACTGCAGGGACCCGCGCAGCAGCGGAGAGTCAGACTCCCAGGGGCGTGGCCCCTGGCCTCACAGTGCTCTGTGGCAGGGTGCACACCTCCATGCACACAAAAGGAAAGTCTTTCTCCAAAGAGGTTTTTGAAATTAACTAAAAACTCAAACTGCTGGGCACACTGTGAGGGATTTTTCTGGGCTGGACTTTCGAGGTGGGAGACCCATCCTAAATCTGATCCACACTTCCTGATGGCAGCCTGCAGAAACAGGCGTGGAAGAAGGAAGTTTGCTTCTTTGCCCGCTTGCCGTCACTCACACTGACAAGTTCATCTCCCCTGCGGCTCAGGGATTCCTGTGCTGGTGTTAGAACTTCCTTCTTCAGGATTCCAACACAGACTGGCAGCATCCCAGGCCTGGGACTCCAGCATCAGACTGGGACGGCACATCCAGTCTCATGGACTGAACAACCACGGGGTCCTGACCTGTTCACGCGAGACAGTAATTGTTGCACCACTTGGACCACATCCGGCAAGCCACTCTAATGCACCCACGTGTATATGTTCACTCTCTGGGTTCTGCTCCTTTAGAGAACTCTAACACACAAATTATTGTTTTTAATGGGAGCGAGAAAAACCACTACAACATTTCAGGAAAGAGACAAGAGAGCCAGCAAGATGGCTCAGCCAGAAAAGTTGCTTGCTGGGAAAGCACAACTTGTTTGACACATGTAACCCTCAGTAGGAGAGAACCAACTCCCAAAAGTTGTCATCTGACTACACACAAACACACGTCTGCCTAAAAACACACACGCGCGTGCGCGCATCATGACATTTGTTTGTATTAATAATAAGTAAGACAGCAAAAATTCACGCTTCTCCCAATTCCGTCACTTGGTGAACAGAAACCTGGCAGAGATGACGTACTGTAAGAGATGACGGTCACAATACAGCCTTAAGGCCAGCTCTTGCCATCCCTCCTCCCCACCTTTATCAAGCCTGTGGTCTGCTTCACCTCTTCAACCCTCTTAGCCTCTCTTCTGCTCTGGTAGCCCTCTTCACTCCCTCTGGCCCTCCACACTCCCTCTGGCCCTCCACACTCCCTCTGGCCTTATGGAGTTGATCTGTCCCATCACGCCCTCAATCTACAGTAGCAGTTCTCAATCTGGAGGTCGTGGTGGCTTTGGGGTTAAGCAACCACAGGGGTTGCCTAAGACCCTCAGGGGACACAGTTATATTTCAATTCAGAAGCAAAATTACAGTTATAAAGTGCAAAAAAAAAAAAAAAAAAGTATGGATGTGGGTCACCCCAACATGAAGAACGGTATTAAAGGGCCACAGCTCTAGGCAGGTGAGAGCCACTGGGCTACAGAGGTGCTCTCGGGCGGCATCACCAGCTCCGACCTTGGCAGCCTGGCTCTGCCCTTGGTAAGCTGTCCTGCAGCCATGAAGTGCAGGACAGGGTGAGAGGCGGCAGAGGTGGGCCTAGCGCCTCAACTCCCCACACAGCTGACACCGCAGAAGACAGAGGCCCCGAGGGACCAGACAAGAAGAGCTGAAAGGGACACCATCAGTATTATCAGCGTCTAGCAAACACATGTGGTTAGTGCATGAGATGCAATAAAATATTTTCTAACTCCCTCAATTTGGAATTTGCATGTGGGGGGGAGGTGCAGCAATGAACTTGAAGGCTAAAGACCAACACCTACTGTCTATTATTATTATTATTAACATTAATGTTATTATTATATTGTTACAGCTTTTCCTGCTCCTGGTGCCCACAGAGGCCAAAAGAGAGTGTCCGGGATGATCCCCTCAGGCTGGAGTTACTGACATTTTGAGCGACTGTGAGGGTACTGGAGATCAAACCCGGGTCCTCTGGGAGAACAGCCCCTGCCCTTACCTCCATCACTCCAACCTCTGCTTCTGCCTCTTGAGTGGCTGGACTAAGAACATGCACTACAGCCAGGCTGGTGCCTTTAATCCCAGCACCCTAGAGGCAAAAGCAGGTGGATCTCTGTGAGTTCAAAGCCAGCCTGTTCTGTGAATGCATCTACGAAGAACAATGAAAACTACATCATAAGACCCTGTCTCAAACAACAAAGATGTGCCTTACTATGTCCAGTTTCCTTTTTTCTTTTTCTTTTTTTTGAAATAAATTCTCTTACTGAAACTGGAGCTTCTCAATTTGGTTAGCCTGGATGGCCAAAACCTTCAAGGACTGCCTGCCTCTGTTTCCCCAGTGCTGGGTTACAAGGACACAGCACTACCCTCAGATCCTCACCTTCCCAACTGCACTCCTCCTGGGATTTTTAACCAAAAAAGCTTCTAAATGTTATACTTAATATGTTAAATATTAATACTATTGGTTTGTTGGTTTGGTTTTGGTTTTTCAAGATGAGGCTTCTCTATGTATCCCTAGCTGTCCTGGAACTCATTCTGTAGACCACGCTGTAGATACCACTACCCCTGCTTCCCAAGTGCTGAAATTGAAGGCATGTGACCACTGCTTTACAAACTAAATCTTTTAATATAAAAAAATTAAAACTGTATCAACTAACAAGATAATCCAACAAATAGATGGCAGACACCTCTTCAATCTTTGCCTGTTCTCTTTTTAAACTCCCTCAGCTTCCCCTCTGCATGCTATATAATACCCAAATGTGTTTAAGAGAATTTAAATATTTCCGTGATGGTTTGGAATTTATGTCCCTAATATAAACATGTGATGATTTGGTAAAATCAATTACCAAATTGATCTTACAAGAAAACAGAATTTCTCACTGCTGTACTGTTACAGTGACTGTCACCACACCTCAGAATAGCCTTAAAGGCCCGGGTGAGCGCTCAGCAGTTCAGAGCACTTGCTGCTCTTGAAAAGGATCCAGGGTCAGTTCCCAGCACTGTCAGCGTGGCTCACAGCCATCGTTATAGCTCTAGTTCCCAGGGATCCAACGCCCTCTTCTAATCTCCATGAACACACTACACACATCTGCTCCGCACACACGCAGGCAAAACACCTATACACATGAAAAAATTAATATTAACAATAAAGATGGCAGACAAAACTATCACTAGTTTATGGCACACAGCAGAGCTGTCACCAAACTGGATGACAGTTGAGGCTGGATACTTCTGTGCTGCAGAGAGCTGTTCTGTGGACAGTGGTCTGTTAAACAGCATCCCCCAGCCTCCACCTACTAGACACTGGCAGCACATCTGCCAACTTAGCATAAGGAAAAATGTGTCTAGACATTAACAAACATCTTCCTAGGGAACAAAATTAGCCTAAGTCAAGAGCTGATAGATAAGTACATAGACACCAGAAAAAGCAAGGTACGGCAGATCCAGCTTCTAGGAAGACTGAGGGAAAAAAGACCCCAAGTTCTTGGCCTGCCTGGGCTAAAAACCAAGCTTTAGAACAGTCTGAACAATTTAGTAAGACCGTGTCTCAAAATAAAGTAATTAAAAGGAGCCACTAAGTCGGCTGAACAGGTAAAGGTGCTTGAGGGCAAATTAGCTTTTCCCTGGAACCCACACAGTGGAACAAGTCACCTACAAGCTGCCTTTAACCTAAGTAAATACAATTTAAAAGTATTTTTACCCAGAGTGCACAAAAAAAACCTGTCTCTAAAAA